TTAAAGAAGTTTCCTATTATTTTAGGTGTATCCTATGCACGTACCGATTACTAATCTCTAGGATTATTGACGCGTACATATTTTAAAATACATTGCCCTATGTGTAGCGTGAATATAAGACCGTTTTCCTTAGAAATTCCCCCACGGAAATATCTCTATCGTTAGGAAGCGCTATAACTCCAAACAAGAATTTGTATTTCCGTATAGTAGAAAATAAATGAATGTTCGCTTGTTCGGATATCGGTACTATTCCACAGATGGCGTAGTGCATTTTCAGTTTTAAAAATAACTATATGGAACTGAAAACCGAATTTATGCGCAAATATGGGTATTAACTTTATGAGTACATTTCAAGTATATAGGCTAATGTTAATTCTTGTTTATACTTATTAGTGCTTTCTTTTTTAATTTCTCTTGCATTCCAAAAATTGTATTAGTGTACTTATATTTTCAAAATTTAGATTAACAAATATTTTTTAAATATAATGAAGTGCCGATCCATCTCTACTATAAATTGTCATAGGGGATTACGCTGGCGTACCTTTTAGGTGCCTCCATAGTAAAGTGACCACCGATTCCGGCCTTAGTAGTGGCCAACGGCTAATAACCGCCATTGGAAATTAATGAATGTAATTTAAAGGGACATAGCTTTACAACAGAAGCAATCTCTTCAAAATTATTCATTCCTATGAAATGTTCTATAAAAATTCTAATTATGTGAGAATAAATAGTGAAAATGGCTAAATGCTATGTTAAGCTCTTCCAGAAAGTTAAATACAGTTACAATAATAATAATTTATTAAGAACTAAGATTTTAAATAAGGATATAGTTTCTTCTTATTACTTATTGCCCAACGATATCAGAAAACTCTATTTACTTAAAACTAATAATTTAATCGCTCTTGAAGAGGCGAAGAGAAAATTGATTTCATTATTACACATGGTGTCTTGGAAAATCCATCAAAAAATTTAACGAATGAATAAAATAAAAACATTAATAAAATAAAATACAGTTTAAAATAAAATTAAACACTGCAGCACTATATTCTACAACTGTGCTTTCTAAAAAATTCTAAAAAAGCTAGTAATTTAAAATTATCCAAAATGAAATGAATAATGTTGTGTTGAAACTCTCTAAAGTACCTTCAAGACGATTTCAAAAATCGGGAAATTATAAAAATAAAATTAACGCGCCTATTATACATTTCCAAAATGTAAGAAGCGAGTTTTGCTAATTATGTTACAGAAAGTAGTCACTTTTTTGTGGGAACAGACATGATGAAAATTGGAAAACGCGCAAACGAATCGCATGAAAAATGAGATATTCTAATAAAATGCTGTTAGAAAATGAAAAAAATATGCCTTCCAAGAAAATAAAATGACGCTAAAAATAAGATGTAAACATTAAATTTAAAAGTATAAAATTTTAAAGACAAAATTATTAAATAAACAAGATCAATAATATAGAAATTAACATAAAAACTTCTGAAAGGATTTAGATTTTATCGTTAAAGCAAATTAGAGTTTGTTAAGGCCTTTTATTCTCTCTCTAAGCATCTCAGATTACCAATCTACTCTTACACTCCCTCCGGCTAATTTTTTGTCTTTTTAGCTAAATTTTAATCATGGCTTTCTTCGCACTTATGCCGCATGCAGTTCAACAGCAAAATCCCAAAATTCTTAAAAGCTGCATATGTTTAAATTTCCGATACAATAATACTTTTATATTGTTTTCATTCTTTTCTCAGTTCATCATATCAATGTTCAGTTTTCTTGCTAGATGTCTTCAATTTTTTTAAAAAAACTAGCCAATTTTGCCGCCAGCTGCCTAATATTGTTATCATAAAAAGTATATAATGATTTAAAGAGACCAGCTAGTGTTACTTCATAAAAACTGTTTAATATGTCTGATTTTATATTGCATGATATAAATGCATTTTGATTTAAACCACCAAATAGATTAAAAAGTAGAAAAATATCTTTAAGAACTGCATTTATTGCTCTTCAGTCGCTTGGTTTGCTATTCACTAAGAGAAAGATTAAATTTGAAACTTATATTTTACGCTTTGCTTAACGGCAACATGCTAGTGGATTGAGATAATTAAGTATTCTGTTTGAGGTAGAGGAAACACATTGTTTTCAAACAGCCGAATTTGTGAATTTAAATTGAGAGATTGTTTATAGCGAATGGCAACAATCTGACGCGCTAGTGATAAACATGTTCTATTTCGAACAACATTGCCATTTCCAGCTTTCAAATCGATGAACTTGTTAAGCAAAAATTTGTTAAATTTGGACAAAATAAGAAAAAAATAATTGAAAAAAAAAACCGAAATTCAAAATTCGGGTTTCTAGTGACGATATGGAGCACTACATGGATGAAAGTTTGTGGCTCTAGGCGCCGTTTCGAGACTAATATCACTAATAGTTAATGAATAAGAAAGGAAAGCAAAAACAATGTTCCGCATAAAAGTAAAATTGCGAGAAATTTCTCACCGAAATTTTATGATGATTGTGCAAAGAAAGTGACGAATTCTCTGCTTCTAAGAACGAGGAAGTTTAAAGTAGTTAAAGATAAAAGGGGTTTCAGAGAAATATTTTCCAATGTTGATGGCGCAAAAACTAGATTAGTTTGATCGTTTAGACACGATATTACTAAATCGCCGTAAAATACAAGTACCTTTAAATTTTAAAAGGACCTCTTTGTTTAAAACGACACACTCCGAAGTCACCAGAAGATATGTGCCCCGAATATAATAACTTAGTACCTTTTCTTATGCAAAACCTCTGACTTTTATTATTATAGGTATTTCCTTTGTTTTAATATTATTAGCTAACACACGTGTTCAACTTAATTTTTCCGCACATACTGATAAATTTTATTTTATTTGCATTGATAATTATCTTTTTTTTTTTTGCACTTTGGAAGACAAATTCAGTTTTTTTTAAGAGGATTTTTACTATAGACTGCACAGATAGTAAAGTGGTTAGGGAAGACGTCTGCGATACCGAAGGGTCCCGGAATCCCAAAGAAAGCACGGATGTAAATTGTCTGTCCCCTCTTAGGAGGTAACGGAAGCTGCCTATTAGGTGCCTCCAGAATAAAAGTGGGAACCACTTTCGGCCTTAGGAGTGGTCAGTGCTAGAATAGAAAATGCTGGTCAAAAATAAAATAAAATAAAATAAAATAATAATAATAATAATTACGATAATACGAACAGCAATCTTTTTAAATAATTGAACTAATTTTCCAAATCTCTATATCTAGTTTCCTATATGAATGAAAAGAAAATAATAGCAATATACATTCCAGCCTACTTCTAAATATAAATTTTATTTATGTTAAATTACGTTTTTAGCCCAAAGGGGCTTTAGCACAGAAGACTATTACGCTCGAAACAGCATTTTCGTCGCTTTACTATCAACGTCCGTTTCACTTTTCAAATTGTTGCCACCGAATAGTAGCGGCCTGTGTTACATTTAAAGAAATTAAATAATCAAGAATCCGCATGTATGTAAGTATGTTTCTCCCACTGAGAAAAAAAAAACGGTATCTAGGGCCACCAAATTTTGAATAACATAATTCTCCACCGGAATATGGTCACCTGAATGCCCAGATTGTCTATTTCATAAAAGGTTAAAGAATTTTTGATTATCAAACCCAACGCTTTCAAAGCGAGCAGCGGCAACACTGTAAAAAGAAACAGTTTTATATCAAGCGCGCGACATTGTCTATGGGAAGTTCTAAAGATAAGCTATTTTTAAATATTTTAGCTCAAAGAGCCACTAGTTCAAATTCTCTTGAAACGTTTATGTGTGTATAAAGGAAAAGAAAGCCCCTTTAGGCGTAATATAATATCTAAAAGTTTTCAAATTTTTTTTGTTTTGTTCCATTCTCTTTTTACAATGGCGGGCTCCAGCAGTTTATAGGCGTTGGCTACTACTAAGGCCGATAGCTGTCGTATCTTTATCATGGAGGTAACTAATAGGTGAACCACTGTATCTTTCTATAAAGGGACTGACAAATTACATTCATGACTTTTCCTGGATTCGAGCCCGAGTCCTTCGGTGCGCAAGCCAAAGCCACTAAAAACTTTCTTGCCTGGGAGGTGGTTAAATTGTGGACAAAAATTGAGAAATTCCTAATAGAAAGAAAAAAAAACAATTTAAGAGTAAACTTTAATTTCTGAGATTTTTGGGACTTCGAGGTTACACGAAGAATCTAGCGCCGAACATTCAAACTAATATTCTTTAAGTTTTCGCCATGTTTCAGGTAAAAATGCAAACTCCTAGTCCGCAGCTGAATAAATATTACTGTGCACATTTTAAACAGATTTTGCATTATAAATTTAAAGTGATTAGCACATTTCGCAAGCAAAATAGAACATTTATGGTTCGAATCCCAGAGGCAGTATTGTTTTTTTCTCAGATTTCTTACGCTTAGATGACAAATGATCTTTAGAATGGCGTCTGAACTATAAGAGTGGTGGATGTCAAGTCAACCTGGCTTTGGTCGACTGGATTTCGTGAACTTCCCCAGTCTTAAATGGAGAGAAAGTTGAAGGATTATGATATGCTTTTCTGAGAGTTCGTTTAGTTTAAGTGGTTAACATGTCTAATTAATAAAATGGAAGATATTTTACTGTCCCATTAAAATTCGATTCATGAAAATGATTGAAATCTGGACGCTGTTAGATTTGTAAAATTTCCACTTCAGCTTAATATTCACTACAAGACAATTTAAAACGAAAAAAAAAATGTTGTTGTTTACCTTACGTTACGTTGTTTATAATAGGAAAGTAATTTTTTTTATTTGATTCAGCACTAACCATTCTGATTTAAAAGTGTTAATTAGGTTTGTTGTGATATAAAATATTAATATTTCATAAGTTTTAAAGTGCAATAAGCATTTGTAACTTATTTTCTGTTGTTTTTATGTGTATTGTTCTGTGTAAAATAAACTTCAAAACTTTATTTTAAACATTTTACTGTTTTTTCAGGTTTCACAAGAAAGTAATATTCATCGTGAATCAACGAACTATAAATACCTTTCTCCAATAACTCAAGAAATATTTCATCTCCTCCAAGATAGCAACTAAATAAAAAATTCGCTTAAAAATACTGTGGAAAATGAAGACGCCGAATCCCTTGCTAAAGCAGAACCTGCTGCCTGGATTTGAGGTTGTAAATGTAAAATGGCAAAATTAGTGTCTGAAAAAAGAATCGCAATTAAATAAGATTTAAAAATAAATAGTTAATTAAATTTCGAATAACAAAAGAAATTCTTACGAAATCGAATAATATATGAATTAAGATGCCGCACTAACCCCTATTACATTAAATCATATCTGGGAATTGCTCTTTCTTCAACTATTGATATGAGAGTATTATCTCATCCTCAGACAGCTGCATTTGGGACGAAAGTGGCTCACCACAGCACCTACTACAGGGAGGAAAGCGGTAACAGTCAGTGGAAAAGAACTGGTAGCAATGTACCATGAGTTACGTACTGTCCTTCCTGGATCCTGTTTCCAAACGACAGGTGAGTATAATCAAATACAATCAAACCGAAACACTGAGCTTTCTTTCAATAATAAAATATTTCCAATGCTTTATTGTGATAGTTATGTAACATTAGACTTTTTTTGTAAAATAGTTAAAATTTTTATATTTTATTACCCAAAAATAGATTATTAGCTAAATCGGCATTAATACACCTAACAGAAGTAACAGTTACATCACGAGACAAGACCTTATGTCACCATACTGTAAACTCCGTGTGTCGCATATACTTATTTCTATTTTGTGATTCTTTCAATTGGTATTACTTATTTCTTGACAAGGATGCTCTTTAATGCAACTAAAATTTTAATTGTATCTTCCAGTGGTAGTAGATACTTGAAAATTATTGCCCCACCAACAATTCAATTCAGAACGTTTCTCTGTAATACGAGTATTGATATAATTTAATTTCGTTACGTGTGTGAAAACGAAAAATGGAAAAAAATAAACTATGCTAATAACTGCTTAAAAAGCATTTGATCTCTAAAAGTTAAACATTTTATCTTTAAATAATTAGCTTTAAATGATAAAAGTAATTGCATAAAATATTAGAGACGGCTGGCTTTGAGATTCATTGGAAGAATGCTAATTTTCTCCGTCATATAAACTAAGTTGGTAATTTTCTGTGCATATTTGTATTAATATTCAACATGGAATTTATTATGTCATATCCAAATTAGCAAACACAGTGGACAAATATGGCTTCCTCCTCGGTGAGGAAGGTTTTGAAATGTAATTCTCTCAAGCTGCATTGCTGGAAGCATTGCCTTTAAGACGAGGCTAGGCCTTCGTCAAAGGGGATTATGGTCGCCGATGTATTATGGAAATAGATCCCGGACTAATGGACTGGAATTTAGTGTAGCTGGATATGGTCTTGGATACTCTCCGATGTCTATCCTGCCATCCGTTCCGGAATATCCGCTGGAGATTTCGTAAATTTCCCTCCCAGTGAGACAGGACGAATGCTCGGAGTGGGAATCCGGAGGAATGATAATGATCAGAATAGAACAGGGGATTAATTTTTGGTTATGGCAACCCTTCTTCTAACGAAGGTAATAATCTGTCTCAAGAAAATGCGTAGTAAATTTACTACATTCATGATAAAGAAGATTTTACTCTTTCTACTAAGATTAGAGGGAAAAAATTGCAATCTGGAAAAGCAGAGTTATAGTATTTAAGAATAAACTCAATTCTTCAAATAATGCTATCCGATTAGGTACTTTTTAGTATAAAGCTTGCAATTTTCCTTGCTGTTCATGCAGAGACACATAACAGAACTCAAATATTACAAGAATAAGTAGTGTACTTGAGAAAAGTACATCTCACTCCAATCGATGCCTGTAATCGCTTCATAAAATACGTGAGATGGCTTAAATTCGCTGCAAGCATCAAATAGGAGGAAATATTAGTCCTAAGTGACTGAAAAATATTTTATAATTTTCCATTTTTTAATGTTGAAGATTGGAAAGGAATTAAGTTACGTATAGTTGAAATTATTAATTGCAATGAACTGCGTAACTTATTTTTTTGCAAGCATACTAAAGGCAATTTCTTTGAGTTATTTTTTGTTCCGGGATTTCATAGCCTGGATAATAAGAAGTATTACCACTTGAGGAAAATTTTTGTTTTAAGGCACTAAGTGAAATAAGTATACACGTACCTCTTAGTTAACTAATAAATTATTTAATTATTAGATGCTCAAATCACCATGTGACGATACATCGCGGTCAATTAATTAAGCAACTAAGTTTTTTTTTTTTTTTCTATTTTTTGCTTCTATCATTTTAAATAATTCATTATAAATAAAAGATTTTACGTTCGATGTCTTTAATTTATTGGGAGACTAATTCTTAAACTAATAAGCCTTATCATAACTGCCGTAACTGCTTCACTTAAAACGTTTCCAGATATTAAATTTAAATTTTCATATCAACGTAGATTTACAGCTTCGTTTTATTACATTTTTAAATTTTCAAAATAGATTTTTAAAACGTTAATTAAGACCTATTCGAGGTGCTAATTTTAAGTTTTCATTTTAGGCAAAATATGATGACATATATTTAATCCAAAGGGGCTTTGTTCTTAAAGGACTATTGCTTTCGTTTTGCACTTTTGCGTTCAATCGCTATAAACGACGAATCACTTTTCAAACTGTTGCAAATGTTAGAGTCCTGCATTACCTTTGAAGAAATTAAATAATGAAAAATCTGGATAATTGCATTTATATTTCGTGCATTGTGATAAAACAACGGTACATAAAACCATCGAACTTTCAATGACGTAATCCTCCTGCGAATATGGGCATGTGGAAGACAAAATTTGAAATTTGTAATTTGTTTTACTGCCGATTTCATATTTTGTAAACCTTTAGCGAATTTTTGAGTAACTAACTCAACGATTAAAAAGCGATCAATGGCAAACTCTACGGAAAAAAAAAAAAAAAAAAAAAAAAAAAAAAAAAAAAAAACTTTTATCTCCAGCGCGCGGAATTGTGTATCGGAAATTCTAAAGATATGCTTATTTTAAAATTAGTTTGCGACATTGCTACTGAACTAAATTTTATGGTTTAAGTGTTTCCCCATGTGTAACGTGTATACGACCCAGTTTCCCTTACAAAGTCCTCCATGAAGGCATCCCTCCCCTTCGGCAGATAGCCCTCGAGGCTTTGCCACAATCACACACACACACAAAGAAATATTCTTTAAGTCTAAATCCTCGGCATATTTTTGATGTTTCAAATATCATTGTAAAGTGTTTTGATCCTTTATAAATATGTAGCATTGATTATTTACTGTAAAATATAATTTAAATCATTAGAAAATGTGATGTACTAAGAGTACTTCCTATAATACAATTCACAACAAGAAATTAAAATATTATTTATAAAAAATATCTCTTCCAAAGTCTACTTATATTTAAAGTTTTGTTTTTAATTTCCTAAATGACTTTTACCAACTTCTGCGCATTTTGGTTTTGTTAACGTCATTTAAAAACCAGGAGTTATTAGATTTATGAATTAAAATTAATATTGTTTTAAAATAATAACTATAAATATTTTTTAATCGGAGCCAATACAACTTGCATTAAATTTCTCTTAGTATCTATTTTAATAAATTAATATCCTAATAGGACATCCTACCGGTATCCTATTAGTGAATCTAATAGTATAACAAATAAAACATTGAATTTTCTGGCAAATTCACATTCGAATGGCCCTTAAAACTATGTAAGCTAGCTGAAAATCTTTTTGAATATTGTATCATGATTTAATTAGTTCTCTAATGAAAATATTGCAGGAAAGCTATAAAAAAGAAGTCTATCTAAATCAAGGCTATAAATAAATATTTTTCTATTTTTACTTCCTTGTACGAAGTAAAAATGAAGTATTGTAATCGCGAAAAGTTTCAGGCAGCATATTTCAATGAAAATATCCTTTTTGACCGCTATCGAATGCAATTTAACGATGTTTTTGAGTGATATCTGTACGTAAGGACATATTAAAATACTCTTTTCCTTCAAAAAATTATAAAACTGCTTTAAAATTAATTCTGAGGAGAATTTTTCGTGGCGTCTATACGAACGTATGTACGTACGTACGTGCGTGCGTACGTACGTATCTCGCATAACTAAAAAACGAGTAGCCTCAGAACGTTGAAAGTTTGTATATAGGACTGCTATAACATGTAGATGTGCACCTCGTATTTTGGTTGCAATCGGCCCCACCAAACGTAATAAATAATTATATATATATCCACTCTGTTACCCGGCTCCGGATCACTTCTTTACTCTTATAAGTTTGTAATTGTAATTTTTTGCTTTAAAAATGATTGAATTATGTTGTTTTTATCTTCCGGTTAGGATTTTATGCCTTTAGTAAATCTGTGTGCAATTTTTAGAATTATCAGCAATTTTAAAGTTATTTAATTGCCGCTAAGCCTTTTTTTAATGCGGCCATTGATGTTTACATTTGAAACAGGTGACTAGTGGATTTGTTGCCAATCTAGAGAAATAGCTTCGCAACAACAAGATAACGCTTCATTTATTATTGCCAATTAAATCATGCTTAATTTTTCTGGAATTTTTTGGAGGAAATAGCGTTTGAGATTTTACTTCCTAAATTTTAATATAGATGTTTGGTTTTTATGTATTTTTGCCTTCTCGCGGAGTGAGAACTGAATTAATTAAATTAGAAATACTCAATCGTCTGTGAAAAACTGTTTCTTTATTGTTTTGTTTGCTTAATTTCTTTTATACATAGTTCTAGCTTTATTATAGTATTTGAATAGAACATGTGGCAACGATTAGATAATTCTTTAAATGATATACATTTTGTACATTCTTGCATTTATTCTTTTGTGGTTTATGCGCTGTCGGCGAAGTAGGTTTAATTCAATCTAATAATAGAACAGTGGTACCAATACCACTACCAGAGGGTATAAAAATCCGTTCAGTGGTTGCTTTCCATTATTTGAAGTTCAGATTTTGAGCGTAAGGTGCATTTGCCCCTCGCTCCCTATTTTAACTTCGCTAATTTTTATGCTCGATCAGATGGCTGGCTCAGTAAAAGTATGCGGCCAGTGAAACTCTGATTAAAAATCTAGTTATAAACCACGTGCAGTGCTGATAAGGACCACGTGTTTCTGTGACTCCTTCTCCTTCTTTCTTCTTTCTGGTATTTCTTTCTCCTGATGAGTAGGAACCTTTAGCTGCCCTCGAAATCGATTGTTTCATTATACCTACGCTAAATACAAGGTTGTTTTTACGATTTTGATCAGTCTAATAGGTTTAAATAAAATGCAAGAAAAAATGCGTATAATATTCCGTACAAGGAAGTCATGTGGTGTACACTTCAGATTTTTTAAAGAAATGTCGCTGTTAATTAGTACCAATCTGTAAAATACTGGAAATTGAAATTGAAAATCATTCCGATGGCAGCCTTCGAACCTGTAACGGCCACTTCTCTGCGACAACATCAGATCT